GTATGATTAAATTCAGTTTATTTTCATCCAATCAGAAGAAACTAAACAACAGTGAGAACTGCATTTGTATTTCACATTTATTCTTACATCCATTCATTAGGCCTTAATTAAAAATCGATACAGTATCAGGAAATGAAATATCGTGATATTTCAGTGTATCGATATTTTCTTGCACTTCAGTCCTCATTGTTCAGTGTTTTTCTGATTGAATAAAAATAAACTAAATTGAATCAGGATCTATGCCTGTATTGCGTGGTGTGCGCTTTATACTGAATTTTTAAAATTAGAATATTTTTGTAGGAAAAAAATGTTGATAGATTGAATTGATTACAGTTTCGCAACATCGCGATATATAGAGACCTCTGTGTTGTGATGTGTATCATATCACTAAATTCAAACCTATACACAGTCCTAGTGAGAACTGCACAAGTATTTCACATTTATTCTTACATCCATTTATTAGGCCTTAATAAAAAATCGATATAGTATCAGGAAATGAAATATCGCGATATTTCAGTGTATCGATATTTTCTTTATAAAACACTGAACAATGAGAACTGAAGTCTGATTGCATAAAAATAAACGATCTATCAGATTTTGTGCTCTTTGCTTTGAGTTCTTTAAAGTTGGAATTTTTTGGATAAAAATGACTTGATAAAAGTATATATCACGATATATATATCACGATATATATATCACGATATATTGTGTATCGTATCAGTAATTCTTGGACAATACACCAACTAGTCCCAGCCCAGTGAGATACAACCTTTAACAGTACATTTATTTCCTCACAGATTGATGATCCTGACAGATAAAAAATGATAATTACTCATGGATGCTTTTTTTTTAAATTTATTATCCCAACTTCAGTTTGGGGTTTTTCTTTCTTAAGCGTGACTGTGATCAGCCTCTTCTCCCTCACCGGAGTCTTCATCGTTCCCCTGCTGAAGACCAGGTTCATGAAACCCGTTTTCACCTTTTTCATCGCTCTCGCCGTCGGCACGCTCTACTCCACCGCCGTCCTGCAGCTGCTGCCCGAGGTTTGATTTCCAGCCACGCCTTTCACCTTTCCATCTCTCCACAGCTTCGACGCTGAGGCAGTCCCATTTCCCTCTGTCTGCCTCCTGTTGGTGGTTTCCCTGAGCTACTTTCTGTGTGGATGTGGTTTTACCTGAGTTCAACACTTCAATCCTTCAAATTAAAATCTGACCCCATGTTGGCGCTCCTGTTTCGGTGGTGGAGTATGGCATAAATCTTGTGCCAGCAGGAACTGAATTTGAATTGCTCAGATTGAATCTGAATGTGCATAAATTAAATGCATTGGTTTGAAAATGAATTTTGGTTTATTAAAAATTCAGTTTGACTACTTCCACTTTCAGTTCCATAATTCAGATTTTTGTGTCACATCCTGGTCCTTGAGAAAGCCAGGCAGAGTAATCAAACACAGATCCACAGATTTATGTTTCACTTTGGTGAAGTTTCCCCTCTGTGTGTAACAGAATGTAAATACATATAGGTCAAATTAATCACTACAATAAAATAACTTTGTTTTTGTCACTTTTACAGTGGATTACATCAACTCTGTTACATCCAGAAGGGAAACTTCACCAAAGTGAAACATAAATCTGTGGATCTGTGTTTGATTACTCTGCCTGGCTTTCTCAAGGACCAGGATGTGACACAAAAATCTGAATTATGGAACTGAAAGTGAAAGTAGTCAAACTGAATTTTTAATAAACCAAAATACAGTTTCAAAGCAAATTAATTCAAATTCAAAACTTTAAATTCAGTTTCAAATCATTAAATTCAGTTCCTGCTGGCACAAGATTGATCCCATAGTGGAGTGAGGGGGATTACAAAGAGGTGCAGAAACACCTGAGTGGTTTCACCTTGATTTACTTCCTCTCTGTGTGATCAAAAGGATCTGTGTTGGAGCGCTGACTGCAGGAAGGTGGTGTCACTTCGCCTGAAAGGATTTCACTGAATAATGAGCTTCTTGTCTCGCAGTTTTTCGTCTGATTCTCAGTCGTTCTTTCTTCTCCTGCAGGGCTAATTGGTCGGTGCTCTCTAATTTTTTTTTTTTGTTCCTGGTAATTAATCCGATAAGATCATTTCTGGACTAACTGCCTCCCTGTTCTTCTGTTTGTCTTTGATCAGTGTGGGGTTATGGGATCCTGTGTGTGACACTGATCTCTCTGTGCTCGCTGGTCGGGGCCAGCGTGGTGCCCTTCATGAGGAAAACCTTTTACAAGCGGCTGCTGCTCTACTTCATAGCCCTGGCCATCGGCACGCTCTACTCCAACGCTCTGTTTCAGCTCATCCCAGAGGTTAGCGCCACGTCTGCTCGATTCGCTGAGCGCTTGGGTGAAAAAGGGCCTGAATGGATTTAAAGACAAACCAAAGTCATCAGGATGTTTGAGAGTTTAATCCCTGCTCTGTGAGCCACGTCCTGCAGGATATTTACCTGTAAAAACACAGTGTCAACCAGCTGAAAACCAACAGAAAGCAGAGCGAGCAATGAAAAAGATTTCACAAAAACTCTGAATATTTCTATTCTTGGATTAAAACTTACATTTAAACCAGATACACAGGAAAAAGTACCAATACTTAATACAACCAAGTGCATACCAGGTACATACTGGGAGGATCTATAGGTTCCTGCAAGGTACTCACAGGGTACTTTCCAGGTAACTTTATAAGACTTAAAAAGTACCTACTGGGTATTTATTAGGGGTGTAACAGTACATGTACCCGTATCGAACAGTGCTTTAGGTTGAATACACACTTGTATGGAACAATACAGGTTTTTTAAATTTATTTTATCAACTTGTCTTCTGAAGATGCTCTGTGTTGAAGGATCAGTGGATCTGTGTTCGACTACTCCACCTAGGCTGCATTTTTGAGCATAGATC